TTTGACATGGAGGAAGCATTATGTGCTTTATTTCTACTATATCTGGATGTTTGAGCAGCCGAAGGAGCTCTATTTCCCGAAGAATGCGAGTGGCACTAGAGACATGTTCAAACACATTGTTCATCTTCTTGATAGCAACCCTGTCTCCACTGTATGTATCAATTGCAGATGCAACAACACCATAGCTGCCCTTTCCGACAACTTCTTGAATTTCATACCGACTTGCCTCTCCATACTCAGTGAAGAAATCTTTGTCCAGCATTCTCTATGTTCAACCAAACCAACATTAGATAAGCTTAAGAAAGATAACACAATAAGCAAAATAATACCAAAAGGACAATTGATGCCAAATAACCTCTTACATTCAGCTGCAAATATGCAGATCTCATTGCTGTTATTAATATAGTTCTCATTAATTAAAAAATTATGCATAAATACTATTGCCTCTGATCCTTATTATAACATGTTTCCAGCATTTTCACGCATCTTAAGAAAAAGTCATTACATTCTTAAATTTGTCAAAAATAAATCCAAAAATTCCAGTTTTTCCCCTATTAAAAGGTTGTTACTTCCCCTCTTTTCCATTATCTCCAAGAGGACTCATTAATGGATCAGGGATATAAATGTCCAAAGAATAGATATTACATCATCCCTGATATTGTGGACGAAAAATGGGTTCTAGAAAACCCCTTATAAGGACCAGAGGGACTATTTCATTACAATGAAAATTCCTTATAGATAACTCTCCTCCCAATTTGGTCCTTGAGAGAAAAAACTTCTCAATTTAGTCTTTGAAAGATAAAGACGGCCTAATAATTGTGAATTAAGTAAACTCAAAATACTAGCGCCAATTAGCTTATTGTAAAACATAAAATTCGAAAACCGGACATTTGAATTTTGAAGCATGTAGCATTCATTGTGTTTTGATTATTCAGAGGCTGATTTGAATTCTGAGAAGTAAGTATTGTGATGCCACAAGAATTCAGCGAAAACACAACCAAGACTATTAGCCAAATAACAATATAAAAAAATAAGAATTTCATGAGACTATTTTGTATACAAAGAAGAAATCTGAACCTAGACTTTGCTCTGCAGCCAGTCAACCTCAGATGATAGTTCGTTCCCGACTCACTGACATGCTCAGGTAATCTATAAGAATAAGAATTGATCAAGATAAAAGAATGTTTGATATCTATACATAATATGCCCTTCAAAATTGGAAACTTCGATTTACTCTGCAACCAGTCAAACTCAGCACTCAGAAAGCTGTTCGTTCCAGATTCGCGGAAATGTCCAGTAATTCACTGAAGAAAAGGAACCAATCAAAATAAAATCTCACAAAGTTATTTTTTTTCTTTGGAGAAAACGCTCCTTAAATTTTGAACTTGACAGCCAAACTTCCATGATCATCCATCACGCTTAAAATTCCTCAAAAGCAGGGAAGAAATAAAACTTGATAATATTACAAAATCAGACATAAAGAGAGAAATAAAAATATAAAAACAAATGGAACAGCATGTAGTCCAAATACGGCAATATATTAGCTCAAGAAAAGGATAGATAATTGCGGCAAGAAGCCTCGATATGCAGGCCTTAACGGAATCTTCTATTCAAGCACATAGAAAGAGTCAGAGAAGTTAGCACAACTGGACCTGCAACATAAAAAGAAGCGCGGTTATTAATAAGGATACAGAGCACCACGTGATCGAGACACATGAAAAATTATACGGTGTTTTTTAAGAACGATTGAGGTATGTTCAAATTGAGCAGATATGAAATGAAAGTGGACATGAATTAAACCTGTATCAATTTTTTCTCTGTTCTCTTCAATCAACTCCGTTTTTGAAGACTTCCAGCTGACCTCTTCACGCATGGCGATCAGCAATCATGAACTGCACGTCGTAGCTCGTCGGAGACGATGCTGAAGAGTCGTTAAAATAGTGACGTGGCATAGGAGGCGGGGCTAGATTTTGCTCCCGCCGGCGGTAACGGGAGGTCAATCTAGACTGGGTTCGTAATCCGCGGGATCGGACTCAGGAGAAATGGGTGCAGTTGGTCTTCATTTCTAATATGATCTAACGGCTGAGCTTCATTTATTATTTTAAAAGCGATACACTACTATATTTATATATGCATATACATACATACATACACACATATATATATATTGTTAAGTTTCCCCAATATCTCAAACAACGTTTCCAAGAAGGGAGGAGTGATCTTCCACCGCTTCCATTTCTCTCTCTCTCTCTCTCTCTTTTCCTTCCTCATCTTAATTCATTTTACATCTTCTCTCAAACTTATTTTTCAAAAATTATTGTTCCCGTGCATTGTACGGCTGTATTTAAGAAGGATTGGGTTATTATATTGTATTAAGATTATATAGTAGGATATAACTAAGAGATTTTTCGCTTGTAATATTGTCCTAGGATGTAAATCAAAGAGATTTATATAAGAGCAAATAGAAAAAGTCAACGCCATGTTAGATACTCCTCTGGTCCTTATTATAAGACCCAATTTGACTTTTTATTTGGTCCTAATTATAAGACCCAATTCATTTTCTCTCTTATATTTATGCATTTTTTTCCAAGATAATCCTTCTAATAATGATAGTTTTAGCCAATATACTTAATTAGCAAGGATATTTTAGGAATAACAACACTTATTTATTATAAATAACCAACTTAACTTACTTCTTTAATCTCCTCAAATAAGTCAATTGGGTCTTATAATTAGGACTGGAGGAGTATTACCTCTAATCCTAATTATAAGACCTGATTTGTAATTTATAAACAAGATTTTATAATTAAGATATAAAAATTAGTAATATACCATATCATTAATACTATTATAAAATATTATATTCAAGTCCAAAATAAATATAAATAATTAAACGTAGCCCGGGTCTTTGGACAGGCTAGCAAGCAACAAACTGTTTGTCTTGATGCCAAACAAACGTAAAAAATACAAATTAATTTTATTTATGAAAAACAATCAACTTCACCTAAAATATATTTCCATAAAAAAAATATTATACTCCTCCGGTCTTTAATATAGGACCCAATTATTGAATTGGTTTGGTCCTAAATATAAGACCCATTTATCATATTTATCAATTTTCTCTAAATTACTCTTATAGATACTCCCTCAACCATAATCAAGTAGAAGAGGAAGAAAGGTATTAAGAAAGACGATTATGGTATTTTAGGAAAAACATGTCATATTCTTATAATTAACTAACTTACTTAACTTCTTTAATCTAATCAAATTAGTTAAATGGATATTATATTAAAGACCGGAGGAGTAATTAATAACAAAGTCATTTAAAATGTTAAAAACTCGTTAATTACATAATATTCATATATAATATATTGAGTTGATAAATCAATATAAAATTAAATTTAAAGCGATGTAAGGGGGTATTTAGGTAAGATCAAAACTATGGTTTCAGAAATACTTTTATGATATACAAAGTAAATATATGAATGAGTTTATCTTGATTTACAAAAAAGTACTTCTGAAACATGTTTATTGAGCTTCCCAAACACCCCATCGTTGCCTCTAAGAGTTACATATTGCCTAAAGAGTGCATGCATAATCCGATAAAATTGTCTACTTTTCAAATATTTATTACAATCAACTCTCCAAACGTATATGATAACGTGTCTGGCCCAAAAAAAAAATATAATGTGAAAAAATTAATTTTAATTTTTTTGCCAGAGCAAAAATTAATTGTTAATATTTTATTAAAGAATTATTTGTAATTAATGAGAGAAGTCTCTTTCATGCAGTTGACAAAAAGAAAAGTCTTCTCTGTATGCGTGTATACTCCATTATCCTCTACAAACATAAATGTTTTCCTCTAGAATTAGGATTCTTTTAATTGCCTCACTAATACCCACACAGCTTCTTTTTCTCTTCTCCAGCCAAATTAAAAGGGTGTTTGGATTTTTTTTTGAAAAATATTTTCATACAAGACGAGATAAAATTCTTAATTTTGTAAAATCACTTCTAAAACTTTTGTTTGGTTTTCACCTAAATACCTTTTAAAATCTTAAAAAGTTTTTTATTTTTTTGTTTTTCAATGATGCTTCGATGAATCAGCTTCTTTTACTTGAATCAGATAAGTTTGTTAATGCATTTTATTAAGTTTAAAGTCAGCTATACTATTTATTTTATGTATATGTGTGTGTATCACATCAGAAGCAAGAAGGATTTAAATAAACAAGATTAGTTTCCTGTACGACATAAGGTATACAGGATAATTTGATTGAAATTTTTGCTAAAAATATACATTGTCTTGAGCAAAATTTTAGCTAAGAATTCACATTCAAATTTCTGATTTAAAAAGAGAAAAAGAGGGAAAAGTTACAAGATCAAAACAATATTGGCAAAATGAAATAGAGGCATGAAGTCCAGTGGAAATTATTTTTGATATATATATATTTATAAACATATAATTGTTTTACTCCGCAACTACGAGCTTCTTTCTTTTTAAAAAAGAAAAAAGAAATGATAATTAATGCACACCTAATTTGAACATTAAGCATTCTAATTGATCGGCTAAAGTACTAAAGCCGTGTGCATTAAAACACCATACATAAAGGTGAACATTTTGGCGGTTAAATATTTTAGTTACTTTGGTATGCCAAATAGAAAGTAAATAAAATAAAATAAAATAATTTTAAAAAATTATCCATGCCATGTAATCAAAAATGAAAAATTGTACAACAATAAACAAACAAATTATAATAACATGACAAAAGTCACATATCAAAAAATGTTTTTTTTTCCCCAATTGCACATGCCAGACGCCTCTGCACTTCTGCATAGAAGAGCAAGTTGAAAACATGCTATAACAAATATCAGCAAAACGCATTCAACAAACGAAGATCAGCAACAGGAAAAAAGTGCAAGAATCCTTATCAAATCATGAACATACAATACAAGTTCTAATATCATAATTAATAAGGCGCACTTAAAACAAAACATCATTGTACGGTCAGGATTGTACGGTCAGACACGTGTTACAAAACATCATTGTTCATTCCTCTTACACCGTTACAGGGTTAGCTTGCACCCCAATTTGATTTAGTCAAGCTGGACCTCAACAGGCGTTTACCTTGACTCTGACAAGTTTCTGGTGATAGCTGTTGATTGTTTTGGTATGCATTGGATAGTTTCAGCTGCACCAGCTCGCCCCTATGCCGAACTTTACTGCTACTACGTCGCAAAAGCATCTGCTTCTGACAGCTTCTATCTGCATCTGACTTCTGTTTAGGGCCCGTCCTCTGTGTCTGCTCCCAACTTGGGTTATTATCATCTGCCAAATTTGGAGAATGCACCTGAACTTGACCTTGGTCTTGTGGCCAGAACTCACAATGACGTTCAATACTTCCTGGGGATTGCAACCTCCTGTGTGTCACAATGTTGTAGAAATTTGGGTTTCTCTCACTATTACTGCCATTGTTTGAGGGCGCCACTGGCACCCATGTCCATGAGCAGTCTTCAGTAGGCACTGGATTAGGAGGCCTCCCTCTACGTCTTCGCTTTGGCAACTTCTGTTCAAGGTGTCCAAATTCTGTTTTCCCATCCAAATTCAACTTTCGCTTAGGACGTCCTTTATTCCCATGTTGCTGTGGCTTGTCTTCTAAACCACTCATAGAAGACAATGAATCTTCCATTTTGGATGCTGTGCCCAAATCTCCGTATACAAGTCTTTGCCATGACATTTGCAGTTCCAACTGTAGTTGTGATGTTTCTCTCGTTGTGCAACCTGGGCCATCTTCAGAAGTTGGATCAACTAACTGCTGCAGCTTAGGAGCGGCAGGAAGGTTTGGATTAGGCAATGAGTAAATTGTTTCATCTGGTTCTAAACTAGGAAAGCTCACTGAAGTGAGAGCTTGGTCCTGGAGCTGTAACTGCTCCTTGTGTTGATGAGGACTTCTATCTAGCTCGAAAGATCTCCCACGACCACGCCCTCTAACCTCACCTTGAGGTCTCAACTGCAGCTGCTTATATTTAGGCTTCTGCGTGTTACCAATGCTACCATCCGAGGGCAACAATGACACCTCTGGAGAGTCAGTAAAAGACTTCTCGTTAGGTTGCCACTCACCGCATTGCGTTATTGGCATGTGCTTCTCCAGATCCCAAAAAGCCGTGCTCTCTTCCACCCTCCCTTTGGGACTTCCTGGCATATCATCCTGTTGTTTGTGCCCGTGAACAGTCATACAAGCTAACGTTTTGGTTGCTGCATATAAATCAGTCTCTGCAATACCACACTTAAGGGTTTGAACGGGCAATTGTGTTGGGGTTAATTCTACCCATTCTGATGGTGCGTGCTCCAAGAACTCAGTAGAAACAGGTAATGTCAGACAAGTCTGGGAATTGGAAGTCAGATCAATTGGAAGGTCTGGTGCTGTCAGCAGGGATGAACAAGGAGTTTCCATATGAAATCCGAGAGCCTCCTGATCCACAAGCAATTCACAGGCACCAGAGAATTTCTGCTGGACGGAAGGCGTCTCGTTCTGATGCTGTTCTTCTTGCTCTGAAGTCTGCAATTTTTCTTTTGGAATAACGGCAACAGTAGGACTAGAAAGTGAAGCACTCAAGTTTTCATTATTGCTGATTTCATCCGAACAGAATCTTGATACCTCAGTTGTGGCCTCAATATGCTGTGTAAGTGATTGATTTTCTACCATGGCCAACAGATTATCTGACTGATTCTCACATTGATTTTCTGCAACAGTAGGATAACCAAGTGAAGAACTTAAGTTTTCATTATTACTGATTTCATCTGAGCAGAATCTTGATATCTGAGTTGTGGCCTCAATTTGTTTCTCACATTTGTCGGTATTTTCATTTTGTCGTGTTTCTCCTTGACCCTGTTCCTGAACCCACCGTCCATGGCACTCTTCAGTCACCCCAGGCTGCCCCATTTCAGATTTCCCCTGTTCCTCAATCATTTGATTAGTCCCCGTGCCATGTAAGTCAGAAAGTTGATTTTGTTCTTCATTCTCATGCTCTAGCAACTCATTACATCTCTCTGCATCTTCAGTTCTTTGCAGCGTCTCTTCACCTCTCAAATTATCTGACTGTTTCTCACATTGAATGCGTAGCTTGATCACCATGGGGTTCTGTCTTTCCACGAGCCTCACGATATGAGGCTCGGTGCTCATAATTTCGCTTGAGCTGATTTTGTCATTCAACTCCATGATTGCCTCCTACATCAAAAGTAAGACAATGTAAAATATACCTCAACCAAAAATAATGAGACGGATGATGAGATAAAATTCGGACAAATAAAAAATTTCATTAGATCAAGATAAAAAATAGTGACAAAAAAGAATAACAGTGCAATGCAATTCAAGGAACTTAGAACAAGTCAAATCGTATTTACCTAAAAAAATTGGCATAACAAAACCAAAAAATGCAGAGCAATCAAGGACAAAATTTCTGCACCATTTCACACTTTTCAAGTTTTTAAAGCAATCAACTTCCATGTCCTTCTGTAATATGTTTTTTGTTGACAAGTATAATGAAAGTGAAAAATAGAACGATCCATCTGCACTTTTTAACATGAAACAAATGAAAAATAATTAGTCCATTCAGAAAACAACCTCAATGCTTTATCTTTCCAGTCATAAAGTTCATAGCATAATAACTCTCAAAGGAAGGGGATAGGCACACTCTTGAAAGTTCTTTGGACGTTGTTTATCATGATTACGTTAAGATTGTGAAATCCGATATGCACCAAATAGTAGGTTAGTTGCATGCCTTAATTTAAGGGTTAGAGGTGGGAGGAAAGAATGCATGGTGAGCCTTATGAATCAAGGTGAGAAAAAACAAGAATCAATTAAGTGTTATTATTTTAAAAGGTGGTGATGATGATGATACTGGTGTTGTGTTGTTATTATTTTTCAATTTGGATTTTAAAAAAGGTTCTCTAGCTTGCCTGTTAGTGCACTTATTCCTAGGAAAAGAATGGACGGAGAGAAAAAACACGAATCAACCAAGCATTATTATTATAAAAGGTAAATGATGTTGTTGATGTTATATTTAATTTTGATTCTTAAAAAGGCACTGTAGCTTTTGTCTGTTCGTTAGAGTATTAGCTTACTGACGCAAAAGCAAAATCCCAATTCTACAAAGGCAGACTAACCAAAAATAAAAGCCATAAATTACTGTTAAATCACACATTACTTGAATTCGTTCGTCGGAGTTTTCAATTTGTCGTGTTTCTGTTTCATCTTGTCCCTGAACCACCAGTTCATGGCACGCTTCAGTCACACCAAGTTGCCCTATTTCAGGTTGTCCCTCTTCCTCAATTGGTTCATCGGTCCCTGTACCATGTAACTCTGAAAGATGATTTTTTTCTTCATTCTTACGCTCATGCAAATTATTACATCTCTCTGCACCTTCAATTCTTTCCAGTGTCTCTCCACCTCTGTGATTTCGTCCCCTTCTGTTTTTCTTTCTCCTTCTGCCACCCCTCCAACCTTTCTCTTTCCTCTCATCAAACTTATAGTAATCATCCATAAGCGTATATGTACCACTATCTGTGCGAAAAAGCTCCTTAGCCTGGCAAAGCTTTTTCAGATGAAGACCAAGAATCCTCGAATGAGCCCAGGGTAAATGTTGGAACTCATTTTTGATAAACTCCGAGATAGCCTCCTCAGTCGATCCGTTTCTTTCATTTAACTCCTTTACTGCCTCCTGTATCATCTGCACACCCAGGCCGGCAGGAATTGCGTGAATAAATCGAACAATAAGCGAAAAAAGGTCAAATTTTTCAAATGAGATTCAATTACAGCATTGTCTAGTTCGATCCCCAAAAATACTAGAACAGGCACAGAAGCTCGTGAGTTAGGGGAAGATGATAATTACCAAGGCGTATGGCGGATGAGTTGGGGTTTCAAAGGAGGTGAAAAGCTCTTGAATTCGACGTTCGACGACGGAAGCATTAATTGCGGAAGACTGAGAGAAGAGAAAGTCCTTAATCTTACCCATAATGCGGGTGTCCCTGCAATCTGTGACGCGAAGCTGTAACTGAGATTGGGGTTCTTCCATGGCAGCCGGAACGACAGGGTCCCGAAGCGCCGAAATTTGAGTCGAAAGTCGACTAAAGACTAGAGAGCCCTTGTCCTCTTCAAATCTTCGGGGTATTTATAGTTACGGATTCTTGGCGGTGCGCAGACTGAATAAAAAATTAAAAAAAATGCTGAAGTATAAACAAAATAGAAGAAATAATAGTTGTATAAACAGGATAAAATAAAAATAAGTAATAGAAATATGTGGAACTAAATAAATTCAAATTTTAAGATCTGCCAGCAAAATTTTAATTTTAATAAGCTGTTACTTTCAGTAAAAATAGTGCTTATATATTTAAAATTATTAATTAATACTCCTATTAGGAATATTTAAAAAAAAAAGATAGTACTAGAAGATAACTTATTTCATTCAAACTTAAAAAACTAGCTATTTTTGAATAACATTTAAACTCAAAATCACTACCAAAAAAATTAATCATAAATTAAAATTTCACCAATAATTACTGGTATTTTTAATTATATTAAAATGAAAAATTATTATTTTAAATAATATTTGATAAGCAGAATATAAAATAAATTTTCAAATTTGCCTAATCAGACTGAACAAACTTTCCTTATTAATATAACAATCATTATCAAGAATCAAGATAAAGCAGCGGTGCCATCTAATCAGAACTCAGAAGTTTATGTTCCTTTTTTTTTTTCCCAGGCCAAAAGAAGTTTATCATTATATCTCTTAATGATAAAAAATATAAATATCATTAAATTTTTTTTCCAACTATAAAATCATCTTTAAAAAAGATTATTTATACATAATTTGGAAAATGAAACACAATATTGCTTTTTTTCGCCAGAGACACGTAATAGTGTATGAGAAATTAGAATCCATAAGCTTTGAGACCCTCACTTGAGAGTTGAGACAGTTAATTACAGGGCGATATTGTCTCACAGCTTTTATGTTACCGCGAGAATTTGCTAAACTTTTCTCACGGTCATATCTTATCCGTGAGAAATTGAGAAATTTTCTTCGTTTGATTATTTATTTTATTAAAAGCCCCGTTTTTAAGTGAACTTCCACTATCACAATAATGTCCATTCTATGAAGGGAAATGCTTTTGCAATTTTTTTTTTTAATTCTTTGACGGTAAGTTCTCCAGTAAAACAGAGTAAGCTTATACTCCTCCGGTCCTAATTATAAGACCCAATTGACTTATTTGAGGAGATTAAGGAAGTAAGTTAAGTTGGTTATTTATAATAAATAAATGTTGTCATTCCTAAAATATCCTTGCTAATTAAGTATATTGGCTAAAACTATCATTGTTAGAAGGATTATCTTGGAAAAAATGCATAAATATAAGAGACAAAATGAATTGGGTCTTATAATTAGGACCAAATAAAAAGTCAAATTAGGTCTTATAATAAGGACAGGAGGAGTATCTTTTACAACGGAACATCGCATTACTCCTCTCTTGTCATAATTCTATTCAAATTAAACAGCAAATACACACGCATACACACAAAATCTACCTAATTCTTAGTCCTCTAAAAGTTGATTAACGGAGTTAATTTTTCTCACAAAAATCTATATCTATGTATCTAAAAAATTTATAAGAAGCCGCACTTATTTATAAGTCATTAACAATAACGCATGTTACACAGGGCTTCAAGCAATAGACGATGCCTTTTTTTCCAGTTACTTTAGAGATTCTTGATCTAAAGTATTTTGAAAACAAGTTTGTAGCCAATCACTAGGCTTCCTACACCACATACCATTTGTATAGAGACGCCTGCAAACGTAATCCCAGCAAAGTTAAGAGGGGAAAAATAATTAGGTACTGACACACATATCTCATCATTAAAAGCAGGAAACGATAAGTTCTAACCATGTAACTACTATCTATTTACAAAGAGACAAGTGCTATCAAATTGTTTATATAAGATTACTTAACGATATGGATAGAACTACAATGACTTGTACCATTCACCACTTTGAAGATTTACATTTGGCAGATATTGCATTCCCTTGGAAGTAAGGCTTAAAGGTTCTCAAAACTTCTTCATAGATTGGTTTTTTATATTCCGCGGCCTGTAATAATTTATCCGCAATTAGTCTTTCCAAGAGCAAAATAAAAACACTTTAACGTTTATAAGAAACTTTTAGCAACTAGCCTGGTCAATAACTTCTTCAGGGCTTGACCATTTCCATTCTGCAAATTCAGGGTCTGCTTCACCATTAGCTAAGTTGATCTCACTGTCATCTTTAGTGAATCGCATGAGAAACCTATCAAGCATTCAGTATTAATGTAGCAAGCAGAGTGTCGGTAAAATACTGAATTAATTTACTCAGAACAAAAAATAAGATAATACCAATTTAATTAACAACATGATCAAAGAAAAATAGTAACCATCATATGCCAAGCCTACTCAGTAACAGAAATTTTACAGAAGACTGGAAACATTGATGGCAAGACCATAGAACAAAGTCCAAGAACTACTCCACTACATCGAGGATGACAAGTTAATGACCTGTACAAAAGTCACTTTTCTCCTTCAAAAAATACAATTACAGCAAGGCCTATCTGTTCAGATACTACATCTCTCAGAGGCTATGGTGATTAGGAACATGAAAAATAATACCAGAGCCATTCAGAGGAACTTTTTCACACCCCACAATCCAGGCCTTATATTGAACTAATGTCTTTCACACTCAGAGGGCTTTGATTTTCCCCCTTCTTCCCTCTCCCTTTAAGAGCAAGAATGACATGTTAACCTCTGCACGTTAAGCAACCTTAGTCTGAGGCATGCTTTTAACCAGGTACAAACTGACAAGGCTTTTGCCTTCCTTCGTTGTCTATTTGTTAATGTCAAACCATGGCTTAATCACTTATTGCCTACATGCCACGCAAGCATATACGTGAACCCATGTATGGCAGAAACAATACAAAGATACAGAATGACAGTGGTTCTTAAATGCTTCCATGTGGCATGCACAGGAATGATACCGCGACATTGTAGGTCAAAATTTCAATACGGAAATAAAACTCAGGTTTTTCTTTAATGTGACAAGTATGCAAGTACTTGGTCATTCAATCAATGACTTGAAAGCAAAACACAAGCGCACCACTTTTGTGCATGTCCATGCCAATCACCTCTCCAGAGCCGATTGACTTTAGCCTTCACATGAGGCGGAAAGTCATAGGTTAACCATCTTGGGACCTGTCAAAGATACAAAACGATTAACCTCCATTCAATCATAAAATCATGCTCAAAAGAATTACTAATATAATGTATCAAAACCAGCATGATGTCTAACTGCTTCTCTTATATCCAAGTCGAGCAGTATAGCTTCTTCCATTTCTAACATTTTTTGTTCACCTTTTAATACTCAAGGATAAAAGTAATCTAGATTGCACATGGATATTTAGTTGTCAGATAGCACTTGTTTATAGAGCATAGATGAAAGCCTGCACATTACTCACTTTTTAGCAAAATAAATAATAAAAACCAAAACAAACTCATGATAGAAATCTGCACAAACCTCAGCAATTATTTCAGCAGATACTATTCCAGTTTCTTGTCGCAGTTCCCGAATGGCAGCAGATATAGGCTCTTCACCATCTTCAATTCCGCCCTGATATTCAAGAATACAAAAGAACATAACATATATATTATCTTAGCAAAAGAATTTGAAGCCATGCTAGAGTTGAAAATTTATTACAGGCGAAATGAGAAAAAAATTCCCAAATTCATATCTAAAATACGAGAGTCCACTTCTGAAAAAGCTTGGAACTACAGTCTATATCCCTCTCCACAGCATTCTAAGCTATACTTTATGGAAATTTTCAGAAGGGATCTGGCTGCTCAGTATATTGTAAGACCAAAATTGACCCAGGCCAACAATAGGAAGAAAATTTTCATATGCAGGAGAGCTGCTAATGATAATGCATTGAATATACTGAGGGAACAACAAGACAACCTTAAATGAAAGGCAGCATAACACTCTGTGGCATATTGCTGGAAAAATCCTCTCGTGAGAACGTGACAAGAGGAATCAGAATTTCAATAAAGACAGTAAGCCCTTCCCAGCTCCCACCAGTAAAGCAACAGAATGGTGATTGCATTTGAAACAAAATTAAGCTACTAAATTATTAACATACTCTTGGCGTTGATGTGCCATCTATTTTCAAATAGTTAGCATGTCACGAGAAAGCTAGCTCAAAATAGGCATTAAGATCGTATGATTCACAATGAGTCACAAAGTCAATGTTATGAGTCGATGACTAAATCAAAAGTAGCCATGTCTATGAATCTCACGATTCTACTTCAACTGCATGAAGATATTAGATATCACCAGAGTTGCGGAGTTGGATCCATCGCAACTCAACAGAAGTTAACTGCAAAGAATACATCTTCATGAATTTGTTTTAAGTGGAAACCAGTAATCACACAGGAGAGGCAGGATAGACGTTAACTTTATTGGAACCGAGTTAATGTAGCCATGTCTAGTGTTATTAAATTACGAGTCACGAAAGAAAAGCAAAAGAAGATGATAGTTGAGAAGTTGGGATCATTTAAAGAATGAATAATGCGCATTTTTTTACCAAAACACTTACTTTGGACTTATCATGTATTTCCCTTAGCTCCTGGGTTAAATCTATAATCCTAAGTATTTTATGCCCATTGGAGGAATACACGTGTTATCCATCTTCTTCGCATTAATGGGGTAAAATATGTTGTTCTCAAGGCTGAAACAGCATGTAAAGGAAAGTCACCTGAGGCATTTGCCATGCTCCTGGAGAATTCAATTTAGAAGCCACAAAAACCTGAAATAAACGATTGGGTTTCATGGATTCTTCCTCTTGCTCATCTAGATATACATACTGGACCAAAAAGACTGTGATGTGGACGAGAAGCTGCAATTTTTCTTCAGATATATACATGTCTTTACAATTTTCTGAACAGGTTGATGATTTAAAATGTAAACCATAGACTGTGAATGGCAAAATTTTCACAAATACAAATATTATTTTTTTATTAAAAAAAATACTAATAGCATATCAAACTCAGACTACCAGAAAATAGAAAGGAGAGAATCAATAAAAGCAATATTTAAAAATGATTGACAACTATAACCAGGTTTTGAATGAAAACAGAACAGAACTTAGGATCTCGGTCAGGGACGAACAGAAGAGAAACAAAATTTATAAAATCCTTGCAGTTTTCATTTACAACTGTTGCAACACTGCTACTCCAGTTACTTGAGCTTTTAAGCAGTAAGTTATGACGATTGGCAAGAGGAAAACGGCAATACACTAGTATAATTTTCTAAATCTAGATAAGCAAAAACACGCTGAAACACAAATCATGAACTATAGATTTTATTCCAGCATACATAGCTCATAAAGGAGATGTTTACCCCAAAATAGAAAACAATGAATCAAAAGTAAACCATAAGCAATCAATTTTACAGAACAGAAAAGTGCAGATTCCTGAAAGCTAAGGGGGGGGGGGGGAATTAGTGAGGCCAGAGAATGAAGGAGGAGCAGCAAAAACCTGATCATCGGAGTTGATAATACAGACTCCGACATTGGGACGGTAACCTTGAGGAAGATCCTCCATGGCTTTTGAGAGAGAGAGGGGGGGGGTGGAGTAGTGATGATAATGGGATCTGCGTCAGAATTTGAGAATGAAAATGGGGGGAGAGAGAGTAGTGGTGAAGATGCTTGTGACCTGGGAGCTATAATGCGTGAGGCAGAGGCTGTCCTGTAAGCGTTATTTTTGGTGTGTGTGGGACTGCGAATTAGTAAACCTCGCTGACTATGACGCAAGGTGGACTCAAACGCACGGAGGGGTGGTGCCCCTCTTTTCTTATCCTGCGCACTCTCGTGAACGAAAATCAATATATTATTCTTTTCATAAAATTATCTTCCACGTATTTATTTTATACTACCTCTGTTTTTTATTATAGAAACTTATTTGATTTTTAATTTGATCCTAAATATAAAATCTTAATCTATTTTATTTTTTATATTTATTTATTTTTTTCAAAATAGTTCTTAAAGTGGTTGCACATATGAAAGGTTTCATGAAATGATAACTCTAGGTAATATACATAATTAACAAGAGTGTTTTAGGAAAGATAACACTTATTCATAATAAATAATTAACTTAACTAATTTCTTTAATCTTTCCAAATTAGTCAATTAGAACTTATAAAATTATTTTTAAAATTATAGTTTGGTTTCTACTCAAACATTTTTATTCTTTTCATTTGATCCAATGACTATTTACTAAAATCAATTATATGTTGCATTGAAAATTAAATAATGTTGTTAGTAATTTATAAACAGTTTTTTTATAATATTCTTTACAAAAATTAATAAAATACATATATCTTTCATATAGTTGATACTCAATGTAAATAAATTTATAATAAGCCATATTTTTTTATAAACAATAAATATTAAAAGATGAGTATGAGATTTTTTTTTGGCCAAAAGAGTATGAGTCTTTTTGAATGAAAAGAAAATTAGCTCGGCGCAAGATAGCAGAAAGAGTCAAAATCAGAGCACGGGAGAAGAATTATAAGGAAAATGCAGCGAGTAAGCAGGGAAGGGAAAAGCAAGGGGGACCACCACTAGGAGCGTTGACTTTGAGATTGATATTAAAAATTCGAATCAATTAATTTAACTACCTCTCTGTCACCTTTTCCCCACTTTGCCATTGCCATCGCCATCGATAATGTTTAAATTATTATATTCTCTCCCTTTTGACATTCTTTGTTTTGTGTTTGCTTTTAGTAATTACCAGATTATATTATTATTGCACTAAAAAAGAATAAATTGCGTATTACCACCTTGTCAAAATTATCAAATGCCCTTGAAATTACAACATAATCTCGCAAATATTATAAAAGTATTTCAATTCGGGAATAGTGATAATTTTAAACATCTTTTCGTAAAATAAAACATTACATTATAATTTTCAAAAGTACGAATAATAAATTAAAAATTAATAATAATTTATTATATACTGTTTGTTAAAAGTATTTTTATTTTTCTTGAAACCATTGATTATTATTTATTAATTATGAAACTTGAAATATCTTTCTTTTAAAATCGCAATTATATACTATTGGTTCCCAAATTTTGCTTACATGGAAGTTTAAAAAGTTCTGCATCCTCATGTAATTTGCCCCTTTTAAATTTCAAAAAAAACCACTTAAATTTCAAAACCGTAAATTAGGAATTCATACAGTAATATATTGTTGTTTACTTTTTAAATATAATCAATTATTATTAAAGTATAGGAAATAAGAGTAATTGGGATTTTAAAATTCACAATTTTTTTTGGGTTTTCCTTCACCTTTAATATATACAAAAACCACTTTTAAGAAGGTGACTAAGATTTTGTGCCCTCATTTTTTAAAAACTGTACTCATTTTATAATAAATGGTTGAATTGTAAGTAAAAGCATTAAAAAAAATCTAAATTAGAGTTGCCTTAACTGACATGCATTAGTCCTAATGAGCGGAGTTATAACAATTTGAGCATGAGAGCTTAAATTTAGATCTATATTAATGTACAAAATATATTTAAAAGAGTTACTCTCAATTGAGTTTCACAGTGCTCAAGTATAACACAATAATGCTAAATACTCTTCTGGTCTTTAATATAAAACCTATTTAACTAATTTGATTAGATTAAAGAAGTTAGGTAAGCTAGTTAATTATAAAAAATGACATGTTTTTTCTAAAACACCATAATCATCTTTCTTAACATACTCCCTCCCTCACTTGCTTGATTATGGTTGATAAAGTATCGATAGGAATAATTTAGAGAAAACTGACAAATATGATAAATAAATCTTATATTTAAGGTCAAAATTAATTTAACAATTAGATCTTGTATTAGGAACTGAAGGAACTGAAGGAGTATCATATAATTATATCACAAAAATTACAGTCGCCTTGATGCAATCCTCTAAAGGCTTGGCGAAATATTGTCCTAAATTCATTTTGATGTATCGGGTATAATTCCACTCTTGAAGTTACAGCTTCAGAATGGAATCTCTTTGCATGGCCACTAAGGAAAGCATAATTATAATTTAAGTAAGGTTATGAATCAATTCAAGGCAATAACTGTACGGCAATGTGGAATGTTGTAAATTTATTGCGAAACATGCTTATATGATAGCATTAACAAACATTTCGTGCAGGTCTTTTCCTCTTACTTTCTCCTTGCAAAAAAGTGGATATTGGACGAAAAATAGTTCTCTTTATGCCTTCCCCAGTACATGGGGTTTCTCCTTGATGGAATAAAAGCATAATTAAGATTCGTCAGGAAAGGTTGCAAACACAATTAAGGGAATGCTAATTCTTTAAAGAAAATTAAATCTGAACCGTTAAGATTAGTTCTAAATGGTCTAGATCTTGGAGTTGATCATCCATCATGTTTATACACAGGAACACACAAGCTAAAAAGGATTATCAAGTGAGCCCAAAGAAAAAGATCTTGATTATTAGAAGTTAAAATCGTACCCCTTCTTCGGAAACACATCGTTGAAGAGGATGGCAAAAAAAGTTGTGGAATTTCGACTGAATGAGCTCTTCCAAGTCCTCAACGAGGAGTTCCAATTGAAGAGAGGAGCTGAACAAGACATTGTGAGCATCAAACGCCAAGTAAAATCCATAAGGGCCTTCTTAGGCAGCATCGATGATAACAAATTAGAGTACGAAGACCAAAGTCTCGAGTCATGGATTAACAGAGTGAGAGATGTTGCTTATGAAATTGAAGATATCGTTGACGAGTTCTTGCTCTACATTTTCGAACATCGTTGGGATGAAGATCGCCCACACACCTCACCGTCGTGTTCCTTCGTCAGAAACTGCAAAACCAACTACAAAATCGGCTCTGAATTGCGAAACATCAGAGCCAAAATCAAGGGAATACCCGACAAGCCAAGGAAGTACGATGTTGTTTCAAGCGTGGTACCAGAAAGCAGCAAAATGACTCATCAGTTTCAGAGCAGTTTGTATAACGTAGTGGACGAAGGCCAACTGGTTGGCGTTGGTCGGATGGAGGCCAAAGAGACTCTGCTTGGTTGTCTCTTAGAGGGTGATGACTCTGCCATGAATAAAGTAGTGGCAATTGTTGCAGAAGGAGGGATGGGGAAAACCACCATGGCACGTCAAATCCATCATAATGGTTATATCAGAGAGTGCTTCAAGAAGATAGTGTTTGTGACGCTTTCTCAATCGTTAAACGAAGAGGAGCTTCTAACCGACATGGTTCAGCAGCTCTGCAATTTTGGTTCTCAGGAAATCCTATCTCACACGATGAGCACCCATGAACTGAAAGAAACCTTGAAGGGTTTGATTCAATCTGCAAGATATTTGATTGTACTTGATGACGTGTGGAAAAAAGAGCATTGGGATTGCGTGAAACTCGCATTTCCCAATGAACACTGTGCCAGCAGAATCTTAATCACCACTCGTAACGAAGAGGTGGCAAGATACGCGACAACCTGCGACGACTCCCAAGGTACCATGTTTCACCTGCAACGTTTATCTGAAAGTGATTCGTGGGGACTATTCTGTAAGAAAACATTCTCTTCCCAGCCTTGCCCTCCTCATTTAGAACCCATCTGCAGACAAATGGTAGACAAATGTGAAGGGCTTCCTCTTGCCATCTCAGTGCTCAGTGGCCTATTGGGTACTAAAAATAAGAACAGGGTTGAAGAATGGGTGATGGTTCAACGTATTCTTGATAACGTTGAACTAAAAGGAAACATTAATCCTCGTTTGAACAAAGTACTTTCGTTGGCCTTTGACGATTTACCTTATAATCTCAAGCCATGTTTCTTGCTCTTAAGCGTGTTCCCTGAGAACCACTTGATCGAGCCCATGAGACTAGTTCGATTATGGGTCTCAGATGGAAATAATAAGATGACAGAGGAAGTAGCAGAAAGCTATTTGTGCGAACTTCTCAATAGAAATTTGATACAAATAGCCAAGTACACACTTGATGGAAGGATCATGTGTTTTCGCATCCATGACCTGATACACGAAACTGTTGTCCTCAAATCAAGAGCAATAAGTTTCGCTGAACCAATCACAAATGAGGAAAATGCAAGAAGTTGGCCTGAAAGAGCAAGAAGATTATCTATATACGAGGGAAGTGCATATGTCCCTGAAATTAAGAACACCTCGTTGTCTCGACTTCGTTCTTTGTTTCTATTTCAGACACATTCCTTGATAAGGTCAAACTTACGAGATGGTAACTTCAAGCTGATGAATGTGTTGGAATTGAACGGGACCCCACTGGAAACATTTCCCGAAGCTATCACCAAACTGTTCCTCTTGAGGTATTTGAGCTTGAGAAATACAAGAATCTCCAGTCTTCCTGCATCAATTGGGAATCTGCATCATCTGGAGACATTGGATCTCAAGCTGACACGCGTCACTGAGCTACCTTCGGAGATATATAAGCTCTACAAACTCCACCATCTTTTGATATCTCAATACAAGGATCACGAAACAGGGTCTCGTATCCCTCTAGAAACAGCAAGTTGTGGCATAAAGTGGAAAAACTACCACAACAACTTAACCCATGTCACGAAATTGGACATATTTCGTGTACAAGGTTTCATAGCAACGTCTGCAATAGGTTGTCTGGTTTCATTACAGAAGCTAGGCATAGTTGAAGTACCAAACGAAGAACAAAGTGACTTCTTTGAGAAAGGCTTGGGGATGTTGACCCAACTGAGAAGACTGTGTTTGGTTAATCTGCAAAACCATCAATGGAGTGCTCTGTGCTCATCCATCTCAAAAATGAGCTATCTACGTTCGCTGTCTCTTAATACAAGTGGGAAATTTGACTTGCAAGATGTGAAGTCTCCACCTGCACTTCTTGAAAGGCTGTGTTTGGTTGGTGAACTAGATAAGTTACCAAGTTGGTTGTGTTCTCTGAAGAACTTGAAGGTGCTGAAGCTAGTGGGCTCTCGACTTAAGGAGGATCCTATTCTGTGTCTTGAGAAGTTGCAGAGCTTGGAGGTGATTGGACTTTATGACGCTTTGGATGATGGCGTGACGATGCGCATGTCGTCTGCTTTCTATGATAGAATACAGTGGTTTATCATGGGAGAACGTAAGCTACAACTTTATTAAGGTGCGTTCTACAACTTAGCGTGTCTTGCAAATCTTGCTTGAAACCATATTTTGAATAATTATGACTATATATACATATATATGGTTTCTTTTACGCATATACTGATTAGTTGATATTGAGATCAAATGGTGTTTGAATTCATTCGTATGCATCTCATTTAATTTTTCAGGATTGGTTGAAGACATGTCCATTTATGCCAATTCAAGAGATATATTCATTAAGGGACTTCTCGGCTTCCACCATTAGACCAACTACTTAATTTGTATTTATACTATGTTGTTGCTACAATTATGAATGTATCATAATTACATTTTATTCTTGTGTTAAAATTAATCTTTCATGCATCATCAAAACTTTTATCAGCAAATGATCAGAAGTTGGGGATTCTCACTTCTTGCGTGTATACTGAAATCTATCACAAGAATTAAGGATGGCTTAAAGAGTATATATTATACATGTCCATCAACTTTATTCCAAAGTTTCAGAAATAAATTATAAGGAATCATTTTTTTCAGTACTAAATTCTTGATTCATTTATGTTTCGTTATGAACATGCTACTTTTTTATTGTTCAATTATAAATCCACCCTATTCCTACGCAACTTTTCAACAAGCAGGGAGACTATAGTCACGCACGACAAAATGTTAAAGTCTATTTCCCTTTCAGATGAATGCTTCTCAATCCTCATAATATCAAATCGTTTTAGACCAAAGAAATATACAATTAGCTCCATCTCATAGCTACTCTACTCTCTTTCTCTCCTTCCTTGCAGCTTCTTCATCTTTACTTTTGCTGATTCAGTCTGCAATCTTGCTTGTATAGTTTATCAGAAGTGAGGAATTTCTTGTGCCCCTTCTTCCATATTTGATGCTTGGCCCTTCGTCACAGATGAAAGCGAAGCCACAGCCTCCCCAACTGTTAAGAAAAGGTTGTCTGCTCTCATCAAGTCATTGCCTTCGTCTGCTTTTTTCAACTTCTCCATAACCTCAGCCAGAGGATTCACGAGCACAATCTGTCCCAGTCAAGGTTTGAGCACTTTTGGTCAAGGCAAATAAAGTAGCAAAACCACTAAAAGCATATGAGATTTAGCATTCTTGCCTCAACGCCCTTATTTTTCATTGCTTGTTTCAGTTCTCTGAAAAGTGAGACTCCACTTGTGTCTACGCTGCTCACAGCTGAAATGTGGTTCAATGCTCCTTTAATTTGAATATAGTACTAAACATGCGCTATAATATGCTTTAGCTAACTTTCCTCAATCAATGCACCAAAAGTTAAGAAGAATGGATATAAGACCCAACATATACAGGACAGATATAAAGCACTATTATCAGATTTCTATCTGATAACGTACGGTTGGGCCGAAACTAAAATAACAGACTATCAAAATTCCTATTTCAAAATTAATCAGGCTACCTGACATTTCCAGAATCACATATTGAAGCCTTGAGCTTTTCTTGATGTTATCTTCCTCTTCATATTCTTCGATCCATCGTAAGATCCTGAATAAAACAGAGGCTGGTAGTTTAGTAACGGGGGAAAGACCAATCAATCATTGATAAAACTGACAATTTGTGATGTTGAAACCCAACCTCTCGTTGAGATATGTGATGTTTGCGAAATTGATGGGAGCCTCGATGCTTAAAATGAGAAGACCAGGCAACTTCACAGCTTCCTCATAATGATCAACATTTCGATATATATCTGTACCGGGTATGTTGCCCAACATCACTGTCTTAGGCCTTGTAACTTGCAGGAGGATCTTCAGAATTGACAACCCAACCTGATCAATAGCATGATTATCACCTCCATGTTATTTTAAGAGGAAAAGATATCATAAACCTTTTACTTTGCCTGTTCTCGAGGAACACCTAGAGTTTGGAAGTCATAATAACGCTGTTGCCAGTAGAAGCCTTTATAAGAAATAGTGAAACATATACTTACTGCCAGAGCAAGGCCTTCTTGAACAGAGATAAAAATGACTCCGAAGAACGCGGTGAGCATTACAATAAAGTCATATTTGTCTAACTTCCAGATGTAATAAGCAGCAGGGATATCAATGAGACCAATTACTGCTGTGACTATGATTGCTCCCAGTACAACATTCGGAGTGTACTGAAACAGCGGCATAAGAAACAGGAGTGTCACCATAACTGTCATGGACATTACTATATTTGATACAGCTGTTTTTGCTCCCGCATTGTTATTGACAGCTGATCTAGAGAAAGCACCTGAAATTCATAGTTAAATTGAGTGAATTATGAAGAAGCCCATGCGCTTTCCCCAAAAAAAATTTACGTCCATGTGTGAATCTAACAGGTAATAGAATGCTGTATCAGACATCGTAGGACTCTTCAAATCACAAATGGATATCATCAAAGTGATACTTAATTATTCCTGCCTATCATTTTTGGGTTTATTCCTGTCCATCATTTTTGGGTGGTTTTTATTTTCTAAGCATTTGACATGTACCTGTAGTGACATAGCAGGAAGTGAAGGAGCCAACCACATTCATGAAGCCGATTGCCATCATCTCCTTATTTCCATCCACTTTGTAGCTCTTGAGAGCTGCAAAAGTCCTTCCTACTGCAATACCTTCCTGTTTGCGAAAGTCCCGTAATATTTAATGAGGATAAATCCCTTTCTCTCTTTTGAAAGTTTAATATGAAACACAGAATCCTAAAGATACAATACGAATGCAACAATGTTTAATGGTGCCCTTCTAATTGTACTATAAAAAGTTGTGATTGTAGTTCTTATGGTTTTAAAGAATCTTACTGTAGTCCTTACTGATAAAACCCTGTATATTTCTACGTACCAGGATGGTACATAGTAAGTGAGGTTAACAAAACTTAATGTTGATTGAAACAAAAGAGTTGAATACAGTTATTCAACCTACAAAGAAACAAACAGTTAAAAGGGAAATAAAGAAAAGTAAAACTTAACAGTGAGGGACAAAACGCCAGTGATAAGCCCAGTTTTGATTACAAGACCCAGATGAGTTCCATTAAAGCGCAGCATATTCCATGAAGGAGGATTTAGACCTTCTTGCAGTTTTCCTATCTACCAAACACACCAGCAGCATATGTTGTTAGCAATAATACATAAAGTGATGTTTGGCCAAAAAAGAAAAAAAGTAGAATTGAAGTGAAACAAGTAATGCAGCTGTTTGAGCGAGTGACACATACAACGCTGATGCCATGATGCTGAGCCTTTATTGCAAATACCAGAAGGGTAGAGATTATCACAGACACAAGAGGAGCACCAGCTGAGACCCAGAAAAGCTTTGGCTTCCTCATGCTCTACACAAAAAGATTGCAAGGGATGTGAATTACTTCTATCCTATGATATGAAAAATTCTAGGATCCATAAGATGAGCTAACAGGCATTTGCTTAGATATTAGATATAGAAATCTAAATATATGCAAGTTCTATCCAATCTTGGTCAAAATCTAGAAAGTAAAACACCCGCAGATTTCAAGGACATAATATTTCTTTAAGTTCCCATTCCCAGAGAATCATAGGCAATGGTATGAATTATGTTAAGTTGGTTTCTTTTATTGTGTTTTGTTGGAGGAGTGGAAACCAAATCGTGTGAAGAATAGCTATGATTCAGTATTCTGTTAAAGATTATTAGGCTAAAGTGAGATACTTTTATGAATGTTGGTGTCAAATTTGTTCTCTATCTATCTATATATTCTCTGATGCTTTATCATATCATTACAGGTAGGAAAGAAAAGAACGATGAAACCAAAACAGGTATTCTAATGTTCCTTCTCGGAGAATTAAATTCAGAATCCAACTTCAACCTCACCAAAATAAAGTGGAGACTTTAACCTAGGCCTATTATTTTCCCAGTTGCTATGTTTTATTCACTTTTGACACTCCTGTATTGCTGCGAAATTTCTCTAAATCTTATTAAATTAGGATTTCGTTTCGAATCCCAAAATTGTCCCTTTTTCATTTTTTTCTTCGAATCCAATCACGCAAGCGAAAACTTTTTGGGCAGTCCAAGTGTTCAAGAGTGAAGTATGATGTGAATGATGACCCCGAACCGTCTTAACGGGATAATAAAATAAGTTATGCGAGTGTGCTTCCTAAAAATAACTTTCCAAGAGCTGCCAAAAAAAAAGAAGACGACGACTTTCCGAGACAAAATCAAGACTAATGGGGTGTTTTGAAACACCCAAAAATGCTTTTCAGAAACACTTTTTAGTAAAACAAGACAAACTACTCTACATATTTACCTCGTATACTGTAAAAATGCTTTTAAAATAATAGTTTGGTTTCCATCCAAATACCCTTTAAAGCTTTTGTGTCATTAGACTAGAGGTCCTTTTCGTAATTGAGTTTCGGGAATAAAGTTTAAACAAAATTGGGATTATATATATTAAAATTATATTAAAAATAAAACATTTTTTAGAAAAATATATGCATGTAATAAAATTATATGTAGTAATTTAAATCTGAATCATTTATTACTTATCCTTTCAGGTCATAACAGAGAGAACGTAGGGTTCAATATATATAGGTGTCAACACAAAGTGTATGAAATGTGTAAGTTTCCTGAGTTTGATCCAGGTGTTTGATCTCTGTCCCAGGTGAAAATGGAGATTGTCCCCATTTAATACTGCCAATAGAATGCCCACCTTACAATCTCACTGCATGTTGCCGCTTCTAGTTTTTATTGTATGCGTATATATCCAATCCAACAAAAAATAATGTAAAAAAATTATCTCTGCTGAGTATTTCTTAATATTATAATTTATTGTTCAAGTTAAATTATAATATTCCTGGGTGGGATTCTTGGCTAGTGAAGGAAAAGGCCAAATGGGTAATAATGCTAAGATGCAAACAAAAAGTAGCAGAGTGACAGAGAGGAATAACGTACAACGTGTCTTGCCAGTAGGAGTAACACCAAGAAGCAAAAACCCATCACTATTGTTTGCCAGGACCACTGCACCAAAATCCACCAATTATCATTTCTCAGATGCAGAAACCAAAATGCTTTCAAAGCCAGAGTAAAAGGTTCCAGTACACAGTTTTGAAATGAAAGGGAAGATTTCAGGTGGCAAAAGAAACTGACCCCTGGACTATAAAAAGATCATCAGTTCATCGCTAAGTTGGATAAACTTTGAAATGATCAAATAAAGTAGCTCCAGGTGGTGGCTGAGCTGAGTCATCTTGGATGTCTTTATATGAAGCTGTTTTTACGTGCAGAGTTTGATATTATCGCGCAAGGATTAAGACTGTATCCAGGCCCACGCGAATCTCACGCCCAGGTATGCAATCTCAATCCTTGGTTGTGTGTGTCTTGGTGAATGTGATGAACTTGATTAAGAAATTT